GTAAACTTACTGCCATTGAAACTTCCCCTTATACTTTCATTTTTTTTTGGTTTTCCCAATAAAAATAGCTTCATTATTTTTTCAAATTCTAAAAATTATGCAAATGAATGAATGTTCAGGGGAGAGAAATCTATAGACAACAAATCAATTATAGATTTCCTGGGGATGGTTCATAGGATAAAATGAGAAATTACGGCCAACTGGTAAAGGATTTGTTTGGGGAATGATGAAAATATTGTGGAATTAGAGTGATGATGGTGACAGGACCTTGTAAATATCCTACAAAGCACTCTGTTATATGCTTTTAAATGAATCATCAGGGATGTGAATTGTGCTTTAAGTCAAAAATTATGCATATGCATTGTAAACAATTCCAATGACATTAAAAAAATGCTTCAAATCCCAATGTCAGGAATGTTTTTCCTCTGAGTGAACCTATTATGTACTTCTATTCATGCAGTTCCAAGTATAGAACTGTACCCCAATGTAGTCTGCTTCTCAAACCCCAGCAAGCTTAACCATCACTTGAATATTCTGGTCAAAACAGTTTGTTGGTCCCATGTCCCAAGATTTTGCTTCTACAGGTCTGAAGTGGGCCTAAGAAACTGTGTCTCTTGTAGTACCCACTGATGCTCATACTGCAGGTCAGAGAACCACTCTTTTGAATACTCCTGATGAATGGGGTCATGTAGTACATACCTGTTCTTCCTCATCCAACTTGACTCATATCTTTGCATTTCAGTTAATAAAGAGCAACCTCACAATTATAATAGCTAAATAAATGTATTTTATGTATGTGCTGTATTCATTTACAGTCTTCTATAGAAGATACATTGTTGTTTCCTTTGCTTAGTTTATTTTTTTAACCCAAGAATATCTGATGCATGCATACATTAAAATTCTAGTATAAATAAGTGAAAAATGAGCCTACTCTCTCCTATTCATCTCCAGTCCTTGAAAGTAACTATTCCTACCAGCTTTTTTTTAATACTTCCAGAAATATCTTGCTTTTATGCATTTATCTTCTTTTAAATACATACAAAAGGTACATGATTATCCTGCTTCAATATCATCCATTATTCTGGGCTAAAAGTTCATTATCTAAAAACATATCCTCTTTTAAGTTTAATGATGCTTTTTTCAAGGTACTGTCACTAAGTGCTGATTAATTGGTAGCTGATTAATGGTTAGAAAAAGTACCTTACTATCATGTTTTAGTTGTCCAAAATTTGCAGTGCAAAAAATGTCCCTTGAACTCAAGGCTAATGCCCTGTACTCATTAAAATGATCCTGAACAGAATTAACTCTTGGGCACACAGATGATTTATTGCTAATGTTTATGTAGCCATTTGGTAGCTGGTCAATTCAATGAAGTCCTCTATAGGTTACAATGGGCTCAAAAAAAAATCCTCAGTTGATGAATATGTAAAAATGTCTGACAAAGTAGACATACTTTATGCCATAAAACAAGTCTTAATGAATAAAAAAGTAATTTCTTGCATCTCATCAGATTATAATAAAATGAAACTAGAGATTAACAGCAAGAGAAACTAAAGAAAGTATATGAAAACATAGAGAATGAATAATTCACTTTTGGATGTTCAGATGAAGTAATCAGGGGAAAATTTTAACAATTCTCAGATTCAAATGAAAAGGGAAACATACCAGGATCTGTAGAGTAGTAGTTCTAAGAAGGAAGTTCATAGCTGTAAATGCATACATCAAAACTCGAAAAGATTTCAAATAAATAATCCAATGATGCATCTCAAGGTCTTAAAAAAATCCAACAAAGCAAAACTAAACCCTAGAAGGAAATAATAAAGATCAGAGCTGAAATCAATGAAATACCAACTGAAAGCACAAAGCAATGGACAAATGAATCAGTTGGCTCTTTAAAAAGACAAACAGGATTGATAAACTAGCCAAAACAAAGACCCAAATCAATAGGATCAGAAATGAAAAGGAGGATATTACAACAGACAACACTGAAATATAGAGGATTATTAAGAATTATTTTCAAAATCTATATTTCAACAAATTGGATAATCTAGAAGAGAGTAAGTTCTAGACACAGATCATATATCAAAGTCGAACAAAGAGAACATAAAAAACCTAAATATATCAATAACAAGCATTGAGACTGAAACATTAATAAAGTCTTCCTACAAAGAAAACCTTAGGACCAGATGGATTTACAGCTGAATTTTACCAGGCCCTTAAAAAACAACTAACATGAATGCTCCTCAAATTTTCCATTGAAATAGAAAGGGAAGATGATTCCAAACTTATTCTATAAGACAAATATAACCATGATACCTAAAGCAAATAAAAACTCAACAACAACAAAAAAGAAAACTACAACCAATATCCTTGATCAACATATATTAAAATCCTTAAAATACTTGCAAACTAAATTCAACAGCACACTAAAAAGATCATACACCATGATCAAGTTGGTTTCATTTCAGGGATGCAAGGATGGCTCAACATAAGCAAATCCATAATGTAATAATGGATATAATAACTAGAATCATAAAAAATACATAATCATCTCAACACACACAGAGAAAGCCTTCAACAAAATTTAACATTATTTCATAATAAAAGTTCTGAAGAACTAGGTATAGAAGAATCTTATTTCAATACAATAAAGGTTATATATCACCAACTCATAGTTAACATCATATTGAATGGGGAAAGACAAAATATTTCCTCTTACAATCAGGAATGAGACAAGGGTGTTCATTTTCACTATTGCTATTCAGTAAAATCCCTGAAATTTTATCCAGAGCAATTAGGCAAGTGGAAGAAATAAAGGCAATACAATAGGAAATGAAAAAGTCAAATGATCCTTATTTGCAGATGATACAATGCTGTACTTCAAAGATCCTACAGACTCTTGCAGAAGATGTTAGCTGTCATAAACAAATTCAATAAAGTGCCTGGATACAGAATCAACATAACAAAACAATACATTTTCAATACACTGATACTGAACTAGTAGAGAGAAATCAGGAAAACAATTCTATTCACACTATCTTTAAAAATACCTAAGGAAGGGCCAGATATTTAGTGCAGTGGTGCCTCGTGCCTCATCTCACAAGCACAAGGTCCAGAATTCAATCCCCAGTACCGGGAGAAAAAAAAAACAAAAAACCTAAGAATCAGGCTAATGAAGGAGGTAAAAGCCTTCAACAATAAAAATTACAGAACAAAGAGGAAAGAAATTGAAAAGACACTAGACGATTAAAAGAACTCCCATGTTCGTGTTTCAGTGGAATTAATATTTTTAAATGGATATATTGCCAAAAGCAATCCCTATCATAATCCCAATAACATTCTTTACAGAACTAGCAAAAAAGGCTAAAATTTATTTGGAAGCACAAAAGACTCAGAAGAACCAAGGAAATCCTAAACAAAAAGAAATGCTAGAGGTATCAAATATCTGATTTCAAAATATACTACATAACCATAAAAACAGCATGGCACAAAAATAGACACATAGACCAGGGGAATTGAATAGAAGACAGAAAAAATACCAACACAACTATAGCCATCTGATTCTTAACAAAGGAGACAAAAACTTACATTGGAGAAAAGGTAGTCTCTTTAACAAATGGTGCTGGGTAAACTGGATGTCCACTCATAGAAGACTGAAACTACATTGCTATCACTATCCTGAATACAAATCAATTCAAAATGGATTAATGACTTGGGTATAACATGTGAGTCTTGGGAACTGCCTGAAGAAATCACAGGGGAAACATTTCAACTCACAGTCACAGGCAAAGACAACCTGAAATGGACTCTTAATACCTAGTATATAATAGCAAGAATCAACAAATGGAACCACAAATTAAAAGCCTTCTTTAAAAAAGAACCAATCAACTGAGTAAAGAGATGGTCTACAGAATGGGAGAAAATCTTTGCCAGGTACTCTTCTGACAGAGCATTAAGTTCCAGAATACATAAAAAATTCAAAAACAGAAAAGCACCAAAAAAAAAAAATAAATAAAACAAAGTAGCCCACTCAATAAATGGGCAAATGAACTGACACTTCTCAAAGAAGTATAAATGGCCAATAAGTATATGAAACAATGTTCGACATCTTCAACACTTAGAGAAATGCTAATTAAACTACAGTGAGATTCTCTTACCAGTCAGAATGGCTATCACCAAAGAATGCAAAAAGCAATAAATATTGGCAAGTTGCCGGGGAAAAGGAATCCTTTTATACTGTTGGTAAGAATGTAAATTAGGACACTCACTATGGAATTCAGTATGAAGGTTCTTCAAAAAACTTAAGAGATACCTGATATAGCTGTATCACTCCTCAGTATACTACTGGAAGAATTCATCAAGATACTACAGAGGTAGCTGAGTACCCATGTTTATTGCAGCACAACTCAAAAAAGCTAGGCTGGGGCCGGGGATTTAGCTCAGTGGTTCCAGTGCCTGCCTCACAAGTGCAAGGTCCCAAGTTCGATCCCTGGTACCCCCCCCCCAAAAAGCTAGGCTGTTAAGATCAGCTTAAGTGACCATCAACCTAATGAATTAAAAATGTGATATATATACACACACAATGGAATATTACTCAGCCATTAACATGAACAAAATCGTGTCATTTGCACAAAAATGGGTGAACTAGAAGTCATGTTAGGTGAAATAAACTAGATTTGGAAAGACAAAACAAATATTGCATATTTTTTCTCATATGTAGAATCAAAACAGAAGAGAAACACAGATGTTATTAAAGTAAAAGGGACTATTAGAGAAGAGGAAGGAAATAAGATGAGCACGGAAGAGAAAAGAGGGGGACAGATGTAAATAATCCAAGTATCTTATATGCTTGTGCAAATGCCGAAATAAGTTACCATTAATCTGTATAACTAATATGCATTAATATAAAAGGGGGTGGTCTTTTCTAAGGACATTCATTTTGGTGAATGATACAGCCAAAAGTATTTACTCTATCAGAAAATACCATTTAAATGAAAGGGTTTTCCTGAAAACTTTTATAAACTTAAAAGCAAGTATATTTATTTAATACAAATAGTTAATTCATTTTAAATACAGTATAGGTACAAAGCATTCTAATGTCAACAAATACATTTTATTAAGTTAACTGGAAGACAGAAAATACTACCACAAGATAAAAAATTCCTCAATCACATTCTCTGGTGATTACCATTTTCAGGGGGCAATTACTGTGTAATCAGCCATTAGTTGTTTCATGATTAGGATAGTTACATCACTGCACTCCTGTCCTTTCACATTTCCATGTATGCTTCTTTCTCAATTATCTCCATTGTGAAAACACCCAAAAACACTGGAGCTGTGAGGCTGGAAGTTAGAGGCTGCATTTTGTCTTACTACTTTCAATGATTCCCTTTGAGTACAGCTCATCAATCTCTTTCTGGTTAAAGCCAAAGTTTTTAAGTATCTCCTCAGTGTGCTCTCCTACAAATGGGTCCCTTTGGGCAAAAGGGACGGCAGGGGTTCTGGACAGCAGAGGCGCAGGGCGAGGGCTCAGGAGCTGGTCCTCGTCAGTGAGGAAGGAGCCCCGTTCTCTGCTGTGATCATGATGTGCAGCCTCTTCCAGCGTCAGCACTGGGGTCACGCAAGCATCTGTGCCATCAAAGACCTGGCACCACTCTGCCTTGGTCTTCTTGACAAAGACATCTGCAAATTTCTTCTTCATTTCTGGCCAATCAGCCTGGCTCATCTGGTTGGGAAGTTCATCAGACTTCAGTCCAAGTCCTGAGGGAAAAGCACAATTTCTTAAATCACTGGGTAGTGAGATTATAATCAATAAAAATGAATTTTGAGGCTATCATAGTCCACTAAGTAAGATGTTCTATAAGGTTTCTCAAGTAAGTTAAAAGAAGAAATTCAAAGTAGTTTAAAGTTGGAGCCAACAGCTAGAGCTGGGAGTGGGTGTATGGGTAACGGAACTCAAAACAGGCTAGCCATTGCCAAGAGTTTATTGCTGACACTTCATTAAAAGTCATCTGTTTTGAAGGTCTAGTTTCCAGAAATTGATTTTTTCCCTCTGTGTAGTTTTCAAAAAGAAATTTCCTCAGGATATTATGTCTTTTGAATTAAAATAATTAAAGTCCTATAAAAATACAATTTGGACAAGTTTAGAACTAACTATCTGAATTTTTAAGAAAGAAGCCTAAAGACTAATGATTAAATTCAGGATTGTAATTTTATAAGTAATATTCATTTCTGTTTGGACAGGTAAAATGAGAGCTTGTGGGACCCTTATACAAGGAACAAAGGACCTGTAAAATAGCCAAAGACTAAGACTTTTATACTTTACCATAGTGTGAAAGCACATCCATGTAACTTTGTATGGTTTTTCATTGTCAGTAGAGAATTCAATAAATTACATGCAATATTTAACACTTTATTATAAAACATGCTGTTATAAAACTTTGCCCAACTATAGTCTAGTATAAGTATTCTAAGCATATTTAAGGTAGGCTAGCCTAAGTTGTTTAGTAGCTTATGTGTATTAAATACATTTTTCAACTTATGATATTTTCAGCTTAACAATAGGCTTATATAGATATAACCCCATCACAAGTCAAGAAGCACATCTGTATATACAAAGGGTCACTTTCTTGGGGTTTGGTGTAAATGTTAGTTTTCTTTCCTCATACAAAATGCTTTAATAATGTGCATGGTTAAGAACAGAAAGGTAGGGCTGGGGATTTAGCTCAGTGGTTCTGCCACCTGCCCTGCAAGCGCAAGGACCTGAGTTCGATCCCCAGTACCAAAAAAAAAAAAAAAAAAAAAAAAGAATAGAAAGGTAATGGAGGGCCCTTTTTCTTATGCATAATATTTTGTATGTAATTAACCAAATTAATGAGCAAGTTATTCTCACTTCTACCATCTTTCGTTTTGCACCTTGCTGTAGATCAATGGCTAACTGTAAGCTGCTCTTAAGATGCCAAAGTCCCTAAAATGTAGGAGGGAGGGGAAGGGAACATCAAAAGAATAATATTTTTTAGAAGAAATTTAACCAAGAACTACAGGATTTGTACACTGAAAACTACAGTCACAGAAAGAAGTTAAAGTAGTTCTAAAGAGACGGAGAACAAGCAGCTCATGTCTAATAGTTAGCTTAATATTGTTAACGTGGTAATGTTCCCCAGATCAATGCACACAGCCAACAAAACCCCTCTCAAAATCCTGCCATTTTTGCAGAAATTGAAAAGCTGATCTTAAAATTGATATAGAAATTCAAGGAAATATAAATAGCCAAAAGAATACTGAGTAAAACACAATTGGGGAACTTAACACTTCCCATTTTCAAACATACTACAAAGTTACAGCAATCAAGATAATGTAGTATTGACATAAAAACAGACCTTCAGATCAATGAAATGGAAAGTCCAAAAATAAACCCTTACATTTATGGTTGATTGATTTTTAAGAAGGATTTCAAGATCATTTCAATGAGTCTTTACTCATTTTTTCAACAAATTGTGTGGGGAAATTGGAATGCTCTATATAAAAGAATGAAGTTGAACCCTAACTTACCTTGTAAAGAAAAATCAATTTAAAACGGATCATGGCCTGAATCTGAGAGCTGAAACTATTAAAACTTTCAGAAAACATACTAGGGTGAGACTATATAACTGGGAGTTCTCTGAACCAACCTTCACGTAATTTTTACTAAAACATAAGTAATACAAATGTGTCAATAAAGCTTACGTTTCTGTATAGTTATAGAAATTGATTAGAACTCAGGCCACAAAAATTTTTCAAGGGACACATTTTAGAAGTGCTTGTGAAAGGTGACAATAAAAAACTGACAGAACTATGTAACTAGTTAACTATGTAATTATATTTATATTTTCCATAGACAATGCATTTATAAGGCTGTGCTATGGCACAAATTCCAGTGTGCTGTGTTCCTGCTTTCCAAAGCTCTGTATCCAAAGTGTGTTGTTCCCACTACTTGGTCTTTCATACAGCATTATCCAGTCCATACTTTTTAATTAAGTCTCTATACTTAGTTTTACTTTCTGGGAAGAAAGGCACCCACTATGATCCAGACAATCCATTCTTTTGCTCTGTAGTTTTCCCAACTGTATTTGAATTATGTAATGAACATATCATAAAAGCACTGAATATCTCTGAGTTATTTTACAGACTAGTAAAATTACCCATCAATTTAAAAGATAGGAACAGTACCTCAAAATACATTAATGGCTATTGGTAGGTTAACTAGAAAGTCAGATGTGTAGGCTGGGGTTGTACCTAGTGGTACAGGTCTCGCCTCCCATGTGCAAAGCTCTGGGTTCAATCTCCAGAACCACAAAAAAGTCATATATGTAGAAATATACATATTTCATTAAAATAAATGACATCACAAAATTCAAAACACCCCAAAAGAGAGGCTAAAGAACACCCATAGCAAAAGAGGAGAGAGGAAGCATGTGACAGTTACTTACCTTTGATCAGCAACTGGTAGAACTGGGGTTCTATTGCTCCAACGGCCATGAACTCCCCATCAGCTGTCCTGTAAGTTGTGTAGAAAGGTGCCCCACCATCTAACAGGTTCTGTCCTCGAGGTTTGCTCCACAGACCCACTTTTTGAGTTTTCCATATGAAAGAACTTAGATAGGCTGTCCCTTCCACCTTTGAAGAAGCAGAGCACAGTATTCACACTAGTAGTTCAAGTATAAAAACAGTCTATTTAGGTTTGTTTAAACAGTCATACAACAATGCCTACCTTATTGACAGGCCTGACTTAAGAGAGTCCTTCACAAACAAACAGGACAAAGCAAACAGGCTGCTTTCAGTAAACAACAGCAGCTTCTCAGTAAATAGGGCAAATGGACTCAAAATGAAGTACACAACCCTCCTGGCTCCTAGAAGTGCAGCGACTGTCTACACACCTGAGCAGACTGTCCTTGGGCATCCAAGTCATAAACATTTCAAATGTATGCGTTTAATAAGTTATTAAATTATTATAAAATAGGTATTTAATTTTAAATTCTCCTAAAACTCCCAGGGCCCCAGGTTTGTTTTTAGTTGATTCCTTTCAGACAGCAGGACTGTACCCTCAGTAGGTAGTAGAGGAAAACTACGGAAAGCCCAGGCTTCGAAGTCAAATCTACTTGGGTGGTACTTCAGATCCTTTCAACTGCTACAGCAGAAGAAGGTAGCTGACCACTGGAGACTTCAAGTTTTAATGCCAAATGAGTGAGTCTATCTCACTTAGCAAGTTGTCTGGCTGAGAGAAGTGGAGCCACATAGAAGCCACTGGCTCTGCACTTGCTGTGAGTGCCCAGGTGATGCTGTTGCTATTCATCCTGTGACAGTGCCATCACTGAGCCAGGAGCTGGTGATAAGCCCTGCACAGCTGCTACTGAAACATACTTCAGAGAGGTTCATAGAGGACAATGTGAGCTGGGCTCTGTGACAGTATCACAAGACAAGATACAAAACAGGACTGGGTACAGTTCACCTGTGAGGAGAAGGAAGAGGCCAGCCAAGGCCTTAGCGACTCTGCAGAGGTCACCAGGGATCTGATCAAGTGTTCAGTCTTTAAAACCTTGAAGTGCCCACCGCCATTTGAGCCTTTGACCATTACTTTTCTGTTGGTACTTTCTCTTTCCTTGGTTTCTATGACAACACTCCCTTCTGACTCTCCCCCTTGCCACCCTCAGACCTTGACCTTGCTTCTCTTCTACCTGCTCACTCCTTACAGGCTGGTGTTCTGTCTCCCCCTGGGGGACTACAGAGTTTCACCTGGCTCCCAGAAATCTCTTTCTAGTCCCTAAACTCAAATATTCCAACTGGATATTGGAAAGCCACTTCAGACTTGCAATGAGCAAAACTGAATTCCTTTTTTCTAGGAAAAAAAAGAGTCACAGTAACAAACTCTTAGAATGACTACTTTATGCAGGGCACTATTTATACACTGAACAATGTATGAACTCATTCTCTAATAATACTGTGAAGTAGAAGTATTATTACCTCCATTTTACAGAGAAAATTGAGACACAGAGATGTTAAGTGACCTTCCCAAGATCACAGAACTAGTAGGACAGAGCTGAGATAGAGGAAGTCAGCAGCTGAGTCTGTGGTCCTGGTCAGTGCTCCATGTTGCCTTGTCCTTCAGCAGCCTTCTCCCAGAGCACCAGCAATGCCATCTACTAGATCGTCCAAGCCAGAAATACAGGGGCCATCCTTTATTCCTTCCCTCCTCCATCCCTCTCAATCCATCTTAAAGTTTTACATCTAAAATAACCTTTAAATACAGACACACCTTAACATCCATACTTCAGTTCCAGCCCTTATCCTACAGCAGTAACCCAGGAAGTGGTTTCTGTCTCCAGTCTTATGTCCCTGGGATCCATTATCCATTCCACTTCCTAAGATTTAAGAAAATGTAAACTTGATGGTGCCTGACTGGAGTCAAGTGAGACCTTGGACAAATGTCTATGCCTTATAACAATGTAGAGTTGGGCCCCCCCTCACAATCTATGCTTTCATTTTTCACTCTTTCAGTTACCAGTGTCAACTGAAGTCTAAAAATTTTAACTAGCTAGGCATGGTGGTGTATGCTTGTAATCCCAGCACTCAGGAGGCTGAGGCAGGCGGATCACTAGTTCAAGGCCAGCCTGGGATACATAGTGAGACATTATCTCAAAAAACTAACTAACTAAGCAAATAAATAAATATAGACAAAAATTTTAACCGGAAAACTCCAAAAAAAAAAATTACTGTTTTAAATAACCTTTATAACTATACATCATAATTGTTCTATTATTTATTTTGTTAATCTCTGTGCTTGATTTATCAATTAAACTTTATCTCAGGCACATGTTTATGTATAGAAAAAGTATGAAATATATGAAGTTTGGTTTTAGGCAACATTAGGAGTCTTGAAACATATTCCCCACAAGTAAGGGGGATGACAATATTCCAAACTAAAGTGTTTTTGAGGATTAGAAGAAATTATACAGGAAAAGTGCCCAGTACAGTATGAGGCACATGTTCAAGGGTGACCAGGAAGAGCAACATTATATTGGAGCATCCCCTCCCAAAAACAGCAGGAAGGTGTAGAGAGAAAGGCCCATTCTATTTGGCATCCAAAAGAATCTGCTCTATCTGCTGGGAAAGATTTCTTAAACTCAGTTTTAAATAAAGAGTACTTGGAAATTTATTTGAAGCACAAAAGACAACTTGGGGAAAATTGCTGAAATACAACATAGGATTCAGGGGAGTTACAAAGACATAAGAGAACTGACTATATGATTAAAATATGACATTCTGACACGTATGAAGGATATGAGGCAATTTTATAGCAAAGGATCTCCTTGGTGACTTGGGATCAAACATTAAATTTCACTTATCTCATTCAAAAAAGGATTTGAGGTAGTTATATATGACAGTTAGGACCAAGTGGCAGGTTGAATGTTCCCCTCCGTTCATTCTCACCATGTTTGCATCAATGACTTGACCTTTGCCAGAGTGCATGCGTTCTACAAGAGCCATCAGAATGCCCAACGTGCACAGGAGGCCACCACCACCAAAGTCAGCCAGGAGATTCAGCGGAGGATATGGATTCTCACCACTTCTGCCAATTTTTGACAGAACACCTACAGCATTAAAAACAAAGCCAATGTCTCCTTTAAATAAATATATGAACAACTAAGAGGAATAAGTAATCTGTGGCCACATACCTCAGTGAAAACTAGTACATGATGCTTTTTCAAACCTGAACCTATTTAGCCTAGTTATAAACTAGCTTTCCTGAAACATAGGCCCTGTGTTTTGTTGGTTTTTTTCATTCTAAAACTTTATCCCAATTGACATTTTCAAACTTTTATTATTAAGGCTTCACTTGCTGAGATTGAGGGGAAATTATTATCACAATTTATTTTTTAAAACATATCATTCATCTTTAGTCTAATTAAAGATAGAAGAAAATAATTATATACGAGAAAAGAAAGGAAATAAGTTTGAAATTGATGTGAAAATGAATTTTATCTTTACTTTTTCCTCAATTTTTAAACGTGTACTCACAAAAAATCTGAGAATTCCTTTAGTAAATTTAGTCCCATTCTAAGACATGTTCTCATAGTAAAGAATTCTAATACAGTGATAGTAGAAGCTAGAAACCATGGGCCTTTCCTAGTGTTCACAGAAGTCTAAAGCGATGACTCGGGCAATGATACTCCGTGACGGAGTGTCAGACTCAAAATATATCAATGTTTTCACACTGTAGAGTGATCATCTCTACTTCTACCAAGTCTCTTACTTCCTAGTAGAGGCTTGTCTGAGACTTGACACCACACAAATACAAGTAAATGTTACTAATGAGTATATATTATCCTTCAAATGTGTTCAGAAGATGGAAAAAAAAAGGTTAAAAATGTTTGTTCCACAAATCTAAACCAACTCATTTTAAACAACTATTACTTTTCTCATTGATTCTGATAAATATTCAACCTTCAACTTTAAAAATGCTTGTTATTCAACATAGTCTATCTGGGGGCCAGGGATTTAGCTCAGTAGTTCTGCTGCCTGCCTCGCAAGCACAAGGTCCTGAGTTCGATCCCCAATACCAAAAAAAATCAAACCATAGTGTATCTTGACTGGGAACAGATTAAAAATGTAGAAAAAATTATTTTTAACATACCTGATAAAGCCAAATAGTTGATGTCATGGCCAGCTACTTGGGAGAAGCTTCCTGACTGGCCAAATCCACTCAACCTGGCATAGATGAGCTTTGGATTTTCCTGCAGCAGAAGGTTTGGCCCAAGCTGAAGTTTCTCCATGACACCTTAAGAAAAAAAATAATCATTTTTTTAGAGCATAAACTGAGTATGGGGATAATCCCTTCTCTGAGGGAAACAAAGGGTACTCTTGGAGGTATGTAATTCTAATAGCAACATTTGTCGTAGACTTTGTGAAAGTTACCAAAATCAAAACAGTCACTTTTATCAAGCCCTAACCAAAAATAAATAAATAAAGCTGGGAAGTTATAAAGGAGGTGACTTCCTGCATTTATGTCTGGTATGGTTTGGATACAAAATCCCCCTCAAAGTGCCTCAAAGGCAGGGCTTTTACAAGGTAACTGGATCATGAGGGTTCTGACTTCACTAGTGGATTATCCATCTATGGATTCATAATTTGATGGTATTATTGGAAGGTGACAGAAATTTAGGAGGTGAGGCCTAATTGAAGGGAGTAGGTGATGGGGAGATGACCTTAGGAACTATATCATGTGCTCAGCCCCCTACACTCTGGGCCCTCGCCCTCGCCCTCGTTCTTCTGGCTGCCACAGAGTAAGCGGCTTTTCTTCTATCATGATGTTTCTGCCACAAATAGGCCTAAAAGCAATGGAGTTCTCTTAGGACTAAAATCTCTGAGCTAAAATAAATCTTTCCTCTCTTTCCTCCTATAAGTTTGATATATTTACAGTGATGGAAATCTGACTAACACAATACCTGATAACTAAAACAATTCACAGATGAACTTGCCGGAACCACCACCTGTACAAAGGCTAAGACAACCTTACAAAAAACTTCCATGAGGACATCTGCCCAACATCTGTCTGTTCAAACTTTGACCAGTGCTATCCTTGTTAATCCTTGCACCCGAAGATTATTAAAAAGTCCCCCCACAAAAAAAGTTCCCCTTGCCTCAACCTCTTTAAATAAGCTCATAGTTGACTAGGGAATGTGGAAATGCTCTGCTACTCCCAAGCAAATATCATTATTCTTTGGAGAATCTCTCTCTGATTGTTATTTAGCCTATAGTTCTCAACATGTATCCAGTAGTAAAGGATCCAGAAGAAGACTACCATTTTTAGAAAGTGTGGGTTCTGCCCAGTATATTTCTGCTGTCACTTCTCTATTTCCTCTAAGCATATCTAAGCATGCTCAATCACCTGAACACAATCCCTCTTTTCCTCTTTCCACATTTGCATCAATGCCCACCACCTCCTCCTTCACAATGACAGGGTATATGGACACACTCATCTTCCCCATCTGCTCAGGAGCTCCTCCTGCAAAGTTCACAATATGCTTTCCATTAGCCCGCTAACGTACCTTCACCAAAAAAGACTCATTTATGGCTGGGGATTTAGCTCAGTGGTTTCGCCACCTGCTGCACAAGCGCAAGGACCTGAGTTCAATCCCCGGTACCCCCCCAAAAAGACTCACTTATAAACATCTATGGAAAGAGCAGCTCCAGGACAACAGCAATTCAAAGCAGTCAATAAGCATGATACCTACTGCACAAAACCCAGGTAACTCACCCCTAAAATCAACTGGGATTAAACATCATAAAGATTACACAATAAAATTGCTGTTTAAGTCTCATCTTTCTCAGGCTATATATAATTAAATCCCCAAACCTAATTATCCTAACTATAAGGCATAACCTAATTACCAGACATCAGACAAATTACTTAACTATGTTCATCCATTCTCTTTAAATGGCACGTTGTTATTGTTGGTACTGCCACAATCCTCAAATATGACTGTGAGAGCTAAATGAATCATTACATGTAAATATGCTTGGTGCCCTGTACACATTCTCCATTTAATAACTTTCTACCAAATAATGCTTTGGTAGAAGCTCCTGAAGCTCCAAGAGTGACCACAGTTACAGATCTTTTATCTGTAAAAGGTGAAAACAGTGGGGATGTAAGATAGCTCCAGGGAGCAGAGAACAAAATAAACAAACGAGCTGGAACTGGGACTTGGGAACACCTGTATCTAAGGCAAAAGTTAGCCTGGCCCATGGGTGGCTTTAGACCTTATACCTATATGCATACTTCTGGCAAGAGAATCTACAGCTTTCATTAGATCCTCAAGTTAAGACAGGCAGACATATAGAAAGATGCTTAGGAAAAATAAAAAATAAAGGAACTAGAGAAGGAGTCAAAAAGAAGGAAAAGGAGAAACAGGGCAGTAGCAGTTATCTTAGAATCCAAGCTTCAGCAGATCCTGGCAATGGGCGAAAGATCAAGACAGGCGGGGGCTGAGCAGGGTCCCCACTAGGGCGCGGCCCACCGCAGGCCAGGGCGGCTCCCGGAGGGCGGGAACCTCCCCACCGGCCCTGGGGTCCCGGGCTCACCACTACGGAAGGGCTCCAGCAGGACGTCTGCGCGTGCACACAAGCGGCGCAGCACGCCCGGGCCCTCAGGCCGCTTCAGGTCGAGCACCAGCGAGCGCTTGCCTCGGTCCAACCGGCTCAGGTTGCTGGAGAACCCCGGCCGGTCTACGCGCGACACCTGCGCCCCGAAGTCGGCTAGGACCATCCCGCAGAAGGGGCCCGGGGCCAGGCCGGCCAGCTCCACGACCTTGATGCCCCGTAGCGCCATCTTGCCTGTCGGCCCTGCAAGAAAGGTAAACGCGCACTCCCGCCCAAACACGCGCTAATATAACCCCCCCTGGAAGCCCCGTCTTGGCCAGCTATTCCGTCTACGGCCCAGCGTGGGCACCCTCTTCTGCGCATGAGCGGGACCGAGGAGTCTGCGCACTCGTGCTCCAGAGGCTCCAGCTCCCAGTTGCCCGCTGGGAACCTTTGATGGAGTCTCCCAGTCCTAGAGTGCCAGGATTGCGGAGGAGAGCTCAGTGCTGTCACCGTCCTTTCGGGGCTCTTTTATTCTCACCGTGGCGAGCCCTCCAAATAAGCCCTTACTCTTGCCCAGTCCGAGAAAAATAAAAATACCTAACTAAGAAGAGTGTAAGATTATTTACCTCCGTGGGCTCCAGGTGGTCCCTCTTGGCCCATAATGTGTATTTAGCTATCAGATGATTTCATCCCGAATAGGATTGAGACCCCCTCCTAAAAGCACTAGGGAAACAAATTTCTGCTCATCCGGGACTAAATGAGAGCTTTAAAATCCTTTTGATTTGTCACCTGCTGTTTTTATGAATAGAGTTTTAAGTCTTTAATTTTACTGTCAAACTTTTAAAAATATATAATAAAATACAAATAGCCCCATTGCTTTTAGAAACCGTTTTCTCTCTACTCGATGTAGTCTATGCAGGTGGCCTGGCATAATTTTTACAGCTCTAGGATGTGGAATAGAAGCCAGAGCCAGAACGTCTCTGCACTCGGTTTTAAAGTATGGGTTTATGTATTTGAAGCTAAGGGAAAAATTGACATAATTCAGAAATCTTTCAGGCAAATTTGAGCTACCCTTGATGAGTTTACCTTTCAAGGTCTATTTGGCAGTCCCTACGAAGAGTTGCGTTCCACTATAGGTAGGTACCATCTCTGCCTACATCTGTGAATGCTTGACTTGTTGCCTCTATCTCATGCTCCTTCCTTTGTGGAAGCATAAAGTTTATCTCCTCCTCTTTTGTTTGTATTTTGATAAAGTTGAAAAAGAAAATTGCAAAGAATAAGACAGACATCCAGACTTAAACTTTAATATTTCATCATATTTTCTTCAGTCTATTTTTCTGCAAAACCAATAACATACACCTTGAACTAAAACGCAGGATCAGATTCACATGACTCAGAAATCTTACCCAGAATCAAGCTTTACTAACAGTTGCAGCCAAAAATATTGTACATTCATTATTTCATAATATCCACAGAGTCCAGGCATGGCTTAGTTGCTTCAGTGTATCTCACAGACTGCCATGAAGGCATTGGCTAAGGCTGGGTATTTGAAAATGTTAGGGACATATGTGTCCAAGCTCCCTAAGGTTCTGGAAGAACTCATTTTCTGGAAGGTGGATGGATTGCTGTGGGGCAATTCTGTTTATTGCATGGGAGCTGCCATAAACTCCCTGTTATAAGGGCATTTCCAAAGAACTGCTTATTTCATCAAAACATATAAGCTGTGACAATAAAGAAAGTTGAGTAGCAGGAAAAGGTTATAATCTGTTGTGTCATAACTATGAATGTGACAACCCATTGCCTTTGTGGTGTTCTATTCTACTGGTTGGAAGCAAGTCATCAGACCAGCTCACAGACAAAAGGATGAGATTATACAAGGTAGGGATGGACTTGTGGCCACTTTGATTCAGTTTTCCAGTTTGCCCTTTGGCTGGTAAAGATCCATTTGCTCCAGCATGCAAAAGCCATTCTTCTTCAGAGGTCCCATTCTGTTATTCAGCTCAAAATCCTTAATCTCATTATCTGCATCAGATCTAGATATGAATTCAGCTTCTTGGGTCCAATTCTTTATCCAGCTCATTGAATACACAGTAAAATCTCCATTTGAGAGCATAATTTGATCTAGAAACATGCTTGTAATCCAAAGCACTTGTATATCAATGTGAATTTCCCCATAAGAAATAAAGGAGACTCAGATGATTTTTTCCATAACCCAAAAATATTCACATATAATTGATTATAATACTGTAATATAACAGGAAATAATAAAGAAAATACCAAATATAAAGAACAATAAATTAACCTGCACTTACCTTTGAAAACCTTTGTGGCTGTTGTGAGAGAGAGAAGAGTCAGGAGGGTTATTGTATAAGATGACATTCACTATCACTAATGGAATCACTACTATCTATTGGTTCAGTGGAATCTTTTTCTTTTCATGCACGTTTAACAAGGAACCTATCTGATGACACTTGCTTTTGCTGTCTTTTGAGGATTTCACAGAAATGTTATATTGCATTGTGGTTAAAATGACTCATCACTCACACTGCTATCCTTATTTGGGGGGTGTTTTTCTTCAAAATTTTGCACTGCTTCCCACATTTTACATGTCTGTCTAATCTCATTTAAAGTGAAGAATTCATCCTCCTTTTTCTCCTTCCCCTCTGCAGATCTCCCCCATAACCTGTTTCCTTTGAGAGATGATCACCCACAATCCTACCTCCAGAGAGAGTTGGAATTTTGATCATGTGATGTTTGGCATCGTGTACTATTTGTATTGAAGACACAGCTCATCTGTCAAGTTAAAATTTATTAAAAATTTTTACTTATTTTGTGACACACTTCCAGAACAAGTTGCTCACAATCCAAGGTTATGCTGTAGTTCCTTTTGATTTGCTGATTGTGAAATGAAGAGACAAGTTATTGGCCCTCTTCCACCTAATACAATAGTGATACAGGGAAATGAATAGCAAGAATAGACATTCCAATTCAAAAAGGGGGAAAGGAAAAGGGGAAAAGAGAAAACAATCCTGAAATCCATTTGGACAGATAGTAGGAGTTCCTTGGTGTGCAGAATGGGATGGGCCTCGCTGTGAGTTACTCCATGCTGTATAGCATAGTAGCTTTCAAGCTGTGCTTTGCCTTGAGGGACTCCTTTTCATAACACAGCAATTTGTTCCACTTTGAGGGCAAATGCTGAGGCAGAATGAGTTGGTAACTTGTCTGTTAGATGTTGGACACACCAAACTTATGGACAAAAAACAATTCCCGATGCATGGCACAATCACAAGACATAAATTTATATTTAAATTAATCTAGCTAATAAAAATTGCCATCTATAGACATCACATTAAACCAGGGGGAGAGGAACACATGATGTATCTAAGTTATATCAGGAAGAAACAGGCATGTGAATTCTTGGACACACCAGACCACCAAATGCTACAACCCTCTCACCTGGAGGAACATTCAGCATTGGGACAGCAATGCCACATTCATTAGATCACCTGGTAAAATCATCACAAAGTTGACAGACCACAAACTCCTACTTCAGCTCAGCTTGGACCTTCTGCTTGATGCAGCCCACTCAAACTGCCTGCCATCCAGACTCAAGCTCTGAACCAACTCTGAACTCTCACAAAGCTCTCTGCCTCCTTGAAGAAGCTCTACCTGGTCTGTAATCTTACCTAGCCACCTATGATGACTTTCTGTCTTGTCTTTCAGTTCTTTCACTTTGAATCCTACTGCCATCATCAAGCCTTTTTCAGCCATTCTGTAACCCATATATCATCGTGTGATGTGTGACTTTAGTGTTATAGATAGTAGTAATTAAGACTGGAATTTTAAAAAAAGGATTGTCCTGTTCATTGGCTATGAAGTGAAACTTTGTCAGCCTGAAAAAGCTGACAAAATTCACGCAGCACTTAGATTTGTCATTCAGTAATCCTGACATTATGAAAAGACACAAATGTGTCTGTCTGGTACTCACAACACTTAATTAGCTTTCATGGCCTATAATAATTCCAATATATATCTCCAATATGCTCTTATGAGAAAGCATAACCCCAAAAAAACTATATGTATAAAAGGAAAAAATAATTTCTTAATATCAAGTGTCCAATAAGTGTCTAAAAATAGCTTTGTTGTGTCTAGATCGCGAGGTCTCCAAAGACCACCAAGGAGCCGATTTTGATGCAAACACACGAGGGTCATTTATTTAAGCTCGAGCAGGGAATCTCATCTGACACTGACGCAATAGGTCAGGATTGAGAGCCCTGACTCTAAAACACCAGGGGTTTTTATAGAGGTTACAGCAAGGCGCGGGGTTTTAAAAAGGCGTGGGGTTTTAAATCACACACAAATCACAGGATTGGCTAGCATTTAGCAAGTTTTGAAAGTTTAAACCTAATTGGTTGGGCCTTGTGTGCTGAACTGTAAGCAGCTGTTCAAGTCATCGAAAAGAACATCTGGGATACTGGGGTATTGGGGTAACTATTGATTAGCTGTTGTAGGCCATCGAGAAGAGCATCTGGGACATTGAGGCAGCTACTGATTAGCTGTTGTTAGGCTAGTTGTTAGGGGACTGTTGAACATTATCACAGGCAGGTGGCCAAAGTGTATCTTGTGGGTTTTTTTGGAACTAGAATTTATGTCTAGGCCACCTTATTTTAAGATGGGGCCAAATTTTAAAATGGAGTCACTTAGGTCTCACAGCTTCAATTATCTGTTCCTATGGTATGTTTGTTTAAATTGTGACTAAAAGCAAGATTTATACATTAACACTCACTTAATACATTTAAGTCTTTTTAAATTAGTTCAATGACTTCTTTTTTTTCCCTTTAAATTCTTTTATTGGTACATTTTAGGTATACAATACATTTGCATTTATCATTGGGTACTTCTGCCTTACATGATATAGCTTGGTTCATATTTTTTCCCCATATCCTGTTCTCCCTTCACCCCCTCCACCTTTCCCCATTTACAAAGACTTTGTTTCCATTTTTTCCTTTTCTCACAATTTTTCCTTTCCATTCTTTCCTTTCCCCTTCCCCTCCCACTTCCCCTAACCCTTTCCCTTTGGACCTTTTCTTCCTATTTCACATTTTCAATTATTCATTTTAATCATTTTAATACTTATTTACACTTTCAGTTTCTCACACTAGAGAAACTTTCAGTATTTACACGTGTGTCCTATTTATTTCACGTTAGACTGTTGCCTCAACACATATCCATTTAGCTAAAAAATGTCTCTAGTTTCTTGTTCTTTATGGCTGAGTAGTACTCCATTTTATATTTAAAAAAACACATCTTCTTTATCCAGTTTCCAGTTGATGGTCACTTGGGCTGTTTGCAAGCTTTAGCTATTACAAACTGTGCCCCTATAAATATGGGTGCACCTA